GTGGACTATAACTGCTAACAGCAACAGCCTGGTTGAACAGGCAATCAACAAGGAAGAATGGCCTCAGATCAGATTGTGAGGGATGAAAGAACCTTTGAAACTGATCACAGGTAAGTCTGTATTGTGTCCACTGAACTGCATTGCACTGCCTGCATTGCATTGCACTGCTTGCACAGCCTGCACTGCATTGACTGCATGAAATATCTGGATGAGAAATTTTAAGACCATAAACTGAGTAATCTTGGTCATTAAAATGTATCTCCTATTGAAGAAGACTGAAAGCCACATTGATTTATACTGACACTGCAGCTTGCCCTAAAACTATGGAAACTAGTTTAACACAAGTTACTGTAAATGCATTTCTATTCAAATGAGCCTTTCATAACAATTTTATAGTTGTTATTCTAAATCCAGTTATTTTGTTCACTTAATGACCTGACAGTAAAATGAAAAAAGACGGCTTGCTTACATTTAGTAATGCAGGGCATGTAATGAAATTTAATTTATGCATTTTTGCATTCATAGTAAAAAATATGGATGGGTTGGACACTGAGTGGTTGTTCAGCTATGGTCTGAAGCAAACTGTTTAGCCTCTGAGAATCATGCAGAAGTGTGAAAGGAATTCCTTATAACTGCCAAATACTCAGGACCTGAAATGGGACCCTAGATTGTAGTGGTTCAAGCGAGGAAATCTTGTGATGAGGACAAATTTCCTCCTCTACCATCACCCCAATGAGGTATCTCCAACCCTTGTTTCAGACCTTAAAGGGTATGGCTAAAGAGCTATTCATCTGTGTCACAAGCTTTTCCTGACTCAGTGCTCAAGGGAGGATTCCATACAGTAGCCAGAATGACTGACTAACAATATATGTAAAGCTCTCACTGTATAAGGTATTCTCTGTGTCACTCAGGTCTGGCAGTAGAGACCAAGTTTGTTCCTAAACATTATCACAATTCCCACAAAAACAGTATGACTTGTGTGAAGAGCTTGAAACACTTTTCTTGAGCAAGTAGCAGATCTCTTCTTTGAGGATTATACAGTTTGTGGTCATAAGGTTCCTCATCTATACATTACACACCAGAACTGTGAATTGCTATACAGTACTGGTGTATGAAAATGCACCAGATATTCTTTTACTACTGGATCTGGCTTGAAACAAAGGCCATTTTTCTGAAACATCCTTATGCACATAAGATAATGCCAGAGTGGTCTATAGATATGGTGATGGAATATATCAATTCTAGAACCACATTAAATTTCCCTACAGCCATGCTAGATACATCACATGGGACGATCTTTCTGTTGGCCAATGCTTTGAGAATGAGTAGGTTTAGAGCTTCCAATTAATAATATACAAACTACAACAATCTAGAGGCCATGTGCAAGTCATCCCTAGAAAATCATTAGGTATTCTCTCTCCTAGGCTGGCCTGTGGATCAAGTCTGATTTCTCTCATTCCCAAAACATTATATAATCCCTACAGGTTTAATGCTTCTCCATTAATATAGTAATAAGAGTAATCTCACAAACTGGCCTTCCTCTTTAAAAAACAGGAAAGTTTATAAGATCTATCACATAACAGAGGTAATGAAAATTCATGTATTTCCCGGAATCTCCATATGTATACATTGCTCAGAGGGAGGTTTTTTTTTTTTTTAATGAACCAGCTGTATACCACCAAGGCAGGGTGACCTAATAAGAAAAACGAAAGTTTCTCTCTTTAAATTTAGTAATTTATACAGGAGAAGGGGTTACTAGCCTCTTGCTCCTGGCATTTTAGTTACTTCTTATGACATGCATGGCTTAAGGAGGAAGAATTCAGAGGAAGAATTATGGGAGAGATTTATTTCTAATCAAGCAGGGGCCAAAAAAGCTCAAAACAGTCGTTTCTTCATTCTGTCTCTGGACTAAGTATCAATTCGACTGATAAGGATATCTGTTACTCTGTTAATAATTCCAGGAATCACTGCCCCCTGAGGCCCAGTCTCAGACTAGGCCCCCTAAGTCAGAAAAAATATTATGAATTAAGAAAGACAGTATTAAGAAACACATGAAACCAAAAGCTAGTTTGTACCATATGTTAGCAGAAGTTAGCAAGATTTGTCTGTCATCTTATGTGGTCATGAGAAAGAAACAACCAGCAATCTTGCCATAGTGTGAAATGTTTAACAGGCCACTATTCCACACTAATTTAACAAGATAGTATTTTCCTGGAAGGTTGCTGCCTACCAACCTACTATAGTACAGTATCTAGAATTGGGCCAAGTAATTCATCATATCTGCTTAAGACAGTCAGGTTTGGAATTCACCTGTCATTCGCTCTCACAACACCAGAAAGGTTTTGGGCAGGCTAATTGGTAATGGCAGCTCAGGTGCCACTCAATCTTATTTTAAAATTGCATGCAACTTATGGGTAAGTCCACATTTGTAAGCCTCTGCAAATTCCACCCCATTAGCCCCAGAAGCCTATTTCTTGGGGCATCAACACTGTACCTAATAAGGCAAGTTCCTTTAGTTATAGACCCACAGTAAAGTTACTGAGGAAGGCACAGGGTATTCCTCTGGGTGAACCCATGCACCATGGGATTGTTTCCCTACACAGATTTAATATCAACATGTACGTACTTTGGAACAATGATGGTTCTCACTCTTTTCTCCCTGCTGGGTATCAGAGTGGCCATCTGCTGTGCTCCGGGAAGGTTCACACTTTTCCTCTGGGCGCCTGACTTGGCACAGCCTCGACCTAAAACTGAAGGTCAAAAGTGTTAACTTGTTCTAATAATACTGAAGCCAAAGTGTGATATGCCCTAAAGCAGTACAGTATAAATAAAAGACAATATCATGCCAAAATGATTGTTCAGGGATTTCACCACTTCAAGCAGATGGATCTCCAGATGCTGACATTGGTGGATTTTAACACAAATATTTGTGTCGTGTGATATTGCTTGGAATGAGGACTGAGCACTTGCTTGATCACCTGAAGAGTTCCAGATGAGTGGGAGAGCATGAAATTCAGTATTTTTCTGTCTAGAAGGGCAACGGCCTCAGCTAATCCCTATATATGAATAAAGGGGAATAAAAAAGTCACTATATAGTGGCTGGAACAATTCACATATAAACTGCTCTAAGAGGAGAAAACCTATGACAACATAACAGTCTGCCCTGGACCACTGTCAAGTCACAACTGAGTGAGAAAAAAACAGAGAACGACAGAAGTTTTTTTTAACATCTTTCTACCATCAGTGCCCCTGATTCCCCAGTACTGAGCATGCCATGTAAATGAAAAATATGATTAGTACAGATGCCACTTACCCTATATATGGAGCAGGTTAACATTCAGCAGAGGTTGATTAAAAAGACCAAAATCACATACATGGAAAATGGTTATAGAGTGAAATAACAAACATAGTACTAGAACCCAGTGGTGTTCTATGTGTCAGGAAACAAGACAAGTGCTTCCTGACGTGGATCTAAAGTCATACGATGACCCACTATGGAGTTGTTGGTCATATGACCAAGGCCTTCTGATAGCAACAGTCCTCCTCCATCAAAATTAAAGACCACATTATGAAGTACAATGCCTGCACTTTAAAGGAGGGGTTTGGGATATTTGCTATTCAGGGTGACATCTAAACTGTCATATGTATGCACCTCTGCAAAAAGTGATAGTGTGAATGATGGTGAAAGCATTTCTTTTTTTGCATCACCCTGCCTCGGTGGAAGATGGCCAGCATGTTGACAAAAAAAGTAATGTGATATAGTACCTGATGGCTAAAAGAATCATGGAAATATTTATATGCATTATAGAAACTGACAGTTTGAGAAAATAATATCAGCATTTTAAAAATAGATATTTAAAGGATGGAGAACATGTTTTGCAACATTGGAAACAATCCTAGTAACTCAACTCTGCAATACAGAATGCATGAATACATACAAACATACACAGCCAGTGCAAAGGGATTCAGGATAAACAGTTAGCTGGACTTGAGTCCTGGAGGTGGGAAGCACAGTGCCTGCATTCTGAAGGAGGTGTTTGGTATATTTGCTGTAAAGTGTGACATCTAAACTGTTGTATGACAGTGATTGTGTGAATGATGATGAAAGTGTTTCTTTTTCGGGTCACCCTGCCTCGGTGGAATATGATCAGTGTGTTAAAAATAGAAATATGAACTACAGTTGTTATTTTTAATTTATAGAGCAATATGAGTGGGAAATGTATGAAAGGATGGAACTGTAATTTATTTTGAATACATTGGCTGTCTCTCACCAAGGTAGGGTGACCCGAAAAAGAGAAAACACATTCATTATCATTCGTTCAATCCCTGTCTTGTCAAAAGCGAGCTTACATCACAGTTAAGATGACCCTTTCAAATGCAACATGCATTTCCTACCTCTAGAGCTAACAGTTTTCCTTAATCCCTTCATACTCTCAACAGTATGTCAAGCCATAGCAACAATCTGCCTCAATTCATTCCTTTTTAACATGCTCACACAAGCCTGTTGGATGTCAAAGACTTTTACACTCAAAACCTCCTTTACCCCCTCCCTCCAACCTTCCCCAAGATGACCCCAACCCATCCTTTCCTCCAACCCAAATTTATACACTTCTAGTCATCCTTTTTTGTTCTTTCCTCTCTAAATGTCCAAACAACCTCAATAATAATAATACTTTTGGTAACCAACACTTAATTATGAAAACAAGGACCCCAGTGGAAGTAAGTCGTTTTTGTCTGACTTTGTTTTTGGGTTATCCTAGGCAATTTACACTCTATGATAATTGCACTTACATATGTGTATCTGTGCCTAAATAAATTTACTTACTTAATAACACTGTTAAAGGTGACATTAACAATGACATAACTCTAGGGAACATAATCGCCACTTTTAACTACACTGGCTACCAGAGCAAGTCAAAGTTATTTTGGTGGCTTTAGCACCAATTAAATTGCTGACAACTCTTAATAATTATTCATATCAAACACAAAGGCCTACAAACCTGAACCAACAATTTCTTCTGCAAAGGTTTAGTAGAGTTAATGCGTTCAGTGACTGAACTAGATCCAGAGTATTCTAACAGAGTTCCTCCAAATGCTACCAGCTTAGGGAAGGGAGTCACAATTAAGCCACCATTCAATAAGTATTTCCCAGTTTCCAGATCAACCAGTGCTGGAAATTAAGAATACAAATAAGTGATATGTATATATAACTTATATTTTTAAATAGCTGTTATTATTTTGTATAATTTAGTAAAATGAATTGCATTTAAATTTAGTTTTGTTATACATTTTTCTTTCAAATATTAGTTGAATAAAAGTGCTTTGATATACATCATTGTGAAGCAGAAATGAATGAACACTGAATTCTGTGCATTTACATTTGCTTTCATAATACATTTTTCTTTTAAATGTTAGTTGAATAAAAATGCTTTGATATACAAGGCATTGTGCAGCAGAAAAAAAATGAGCACTGAACTCAAATGGAGAAAAAATACAAGTGCAGGAAGATGGGAGCTATGAAACTTAACTTTCCAACTTTGTTATGGGGATCTGAGCATAACTTACATATGCAGAAGACAATATCTACACATTCCCATAAATAAACAACACTAACCCAGATAAGGCATTCAACACACTACTTGTAGTGCTACAACATAGGAACGTCTACGATACAGCTTGCAGACGTCTGTGCAAACTTTTGAAAGTTTCTGAGATATGACGTCCTGGTTGTCATCGCAGATTAATTTAGGTGTTTTGCCATTGGTGGTGCTTATTCTCTTCTGACACACAATGCTTCATGTAATACAAATAATTTCTACAAATATTTTAACTCAGAAAACTCGTAAACCTGAAATATTCAAAAAAACCGTTTATAAGTCAAACAGGAAAAGAATGAAAATAGAAAATGGAAGACATACCAAGGTAGTTATCATCAATCGGTCGGTCATGATAGGCTTGTTGAGTGACCTCTATCATGGCAGCCCCCTCAGGAATGATGACAATATCTGTGTACCCATAAGGACGAGGCTCCTCTATGGATTCTGAAGTCACCTGACAAGTTGAGTTGTCGCCATTACACACACCACAGATATCTGCTCCAGGAAAAGATAGAAACATGAGCTCCTATTAAGTAAATACAAAGCCAAATAAGTAAATTTACCAAGATACTCGTTCTTGCATGGGGAGACATGCTCACAAAAGCTCAACATAACTTTCAAGTTACCAGCCTAAATAAGCAACCTCCAGTCAGCCAGACTTCAGTCCTGGAGATGGAAAGTACAGCGCTTGCACTCTAAGGGAGGGGTTTGGAATATTGGGCATTTGGAGTGATGTCTAAACTGTCATATCTGGGCACCTCCTCAGACAGTGATACTGTGTGAACGATGGTGAAAGTGTTGAATGATGGTGAAAGTGTTTTTTCAATTTTGGTCACCCTGCCTCAGTGGAAGATGGCCATCGTGTTGAAAAAAAACACCAACAGGCTCTAAAATCCAGTGTAACCATATCTAAATAACCTACAAAAAACAAAAGAAACAAGTGTGCTCATCTCTACAAAAAATGCAATGCATACTTGTGACTTTCTTTTGTACCTAACAATGCTTTTATTACACATAAACTGCATTATGTGTGTACTGAATAACAGAAATAAAAATGTGAATATGAATTTGAACATCCACCATTGTTTTACTGTCAGATGCAAGATAGCAGAGCTCTCCAAGTTCAATTACGCTTGTTAAGCCTTATAATAAGACTATAAAATCTAAGGAATGTGACTGGAGGCAGTGGAAGGAAATCTGGGTCAATGTTTAAGTGATTTATTCCTGCTCTCTAATATTTATTACACCTATTATTTTCAATACAATTACTAAATTTAAAAAGAAAAACTTTCATTTTTCTTTTTAGGCTAGTACAGTGGACCCCAGTTATCATAATTAATCCGTTCCTGAGAGATTGACTAAAGCCAAATTTGACGATTTCTGAATTCATTTTCCCCATAAGAAATAATGTGAATCCAATTAACCCATTCCAGACACCCAAAAGTATTAAAAAACAAAAAAAAAAATTTTTACATGAAATATACATTTACCTACACAGAGAACAATGAGACATGAAGAATAAAACAATAATAACATGACACTTACCTTTATCGAAAACTCTTCTTAGTGTATTGAAAATGGGAGGAGGGGAGAGGATGGAGAAATTACTGTTTGGAAGGAAAATCCCCTTCCATAAAGACTTCATGTACCAAGTCCTTTTCTGGGGTTACTTCCCTTCTTTGTTTATTAATGCCACTAGGACCAGCTTGAGAGTCACTGGACCCCTATCGCTCAAAAAAGTGTTCCAGAGAGGTCTGTTTCTGGTGTATGTTAGGAATTGTGGCACCAGCAGGGGAGTATGTTGGGAAACAGGACAAGATAGTCCTTCAGTGACACTATCATTCTATGGTTTATTTATCTAGCACAATTCATTTAATATGACATAATAAACAATGTTAATAATATAGAAACATGATATATACTCTAGAATGAATAAAATATGTCGTATGCCTCTCTCCCTAACCAACGAGTGTTGTTTGCTGTTGGGTGTACAAGGGCCACTGAAAGATAAGCCATACATAGTGGTGGTGATGGCGGCATCAGAGATGGCGGTGTTGTCAGTCGCCCTATATAACTCCAACAACATTGGAGGAGCCAGTTCGTGCAGTCCTTTTTCTATCAATTAATCACTTAACTTATTTGCTACACTGTTAATGCTACACTTTATTGCTGGCTGGTGCTATAGCCTTTATCGACTCCTGCTGCTTTGGTAACATACATATTGCAGAATCACTGAAGAAGGCACATTCTCCCCTATCTCTCAGCCCTTTACCAAAGGGCTGGCTGGCACTAGGAACTTTCTTTGGACCCATGGTGGCTTATTTAGCAGTTGCAAGCACTAAAAAGAATGGAATATGAAATGTATTGCATAAATGTGTGGGATCGTGCTCAATAGCGGTCTGACACTCAATGTCGGACCGTTGTTGTCATGCGGATGCATTCAGGACGAATGACTATTACTGAGCTCAATAATGATCACCAAGCCAATATTTTGACGAAAAAATGTTACGATTTCCGAATATTCCGAAACCCAATGACTACGATATCCGGGGTCCATTGTATTACCATCTCTTCTTATTAACATTGCTATCATGATACATTGCAAAAAAAAAAAATTACTTAAAATACTAGTTATATTTAATAGTCTTAGCTTCACACAACTTGATTATAGCATGTTAAATTTAACACTCAAATGATCTAACTTCAACTACACAACATCAAGTACTTAAAGGTTCCAGTTTTGCTGTAATCTGTCCAAAATGATCTGAATAATCAGGATTTTCTAAATGAATGAAACAAATGTCACTGAATTTTAAAACAATAATGCAAATCTTAAAAATAAAATTGGTGTGTTTGCTCATACAAATAATTATGAACTTTGCAGCATATCAGGTCAGCTAATGTGACATTTTATTGTGACAATGTTTTGCTCTTCAGAAGCTTTGTTAAAGCTCCTGGAGAGCAAAATGTTGCCACAATAAAATGTCGCACTAGCTGCACTTGTCTTTTTGCCTAATACATTGTCGGTAATTCTACCTTTATTATTAATTGTACACTTTTACCCACATTCTGCCACACACTCCTTTTATGCTTTTATATTTGACCTCCTTTTCATTTCTCTTCGTATACTGTTTATGTTGTACTTTTCATAATAATCCCAGTTCTCAGGTTGTATACAGCTACTAGCATGAAACTTGCATTTAATCTTACATCTTTGTTTTTCATCCATTATAAAAGTTAGTAATTATAAATTTATACAAAGCTTTGTATTCACTGGATGTTACTAGGTACTGTACTGCCCCTACTGGTTTAGCACCTCCCATGATTATAATTACAGCCTCTCCTCACTTAGCGACATACTTATTTACCGACGACTCGGACTTACAACGGGCTCTCTAACGTGTGTGCATACCTAAATAATGTATATTAGAGCTGATTTCCTCTATTCTCTTTATTAGAATACATAGTACACTACTGTATAAACATTTAAAAATATATTAGAAATGTTATAAATGGTGCAAAGGCAATATTAAAACAATATCAAAGGTGGTTGACACAAACCCACTACCATTATAATATGCTCTTCACTTAGTGACAAATTTGTTTACTGAAGTGGCCTTAGGAACGGAACTCTGTCATTAAGTGATGAGTAGCTGTACTGGAAGTCAAATTTAGAACAAGGTGTGATCTCACCAGCCTTTGCTGTAGAGTTGAGAACATAATCACAGCCATGTGCGCACTTCCCTTGACACAGAGTGAAGTGCCGGGCCCCGCAGGAGTACCATCCTCGACCTTATTCGAAGCTTAAATATGATGTGGGTTTTATTGTAGCCTGGCAGAAAGCTGGCAACTGTCTTCTCTTAAAACTGTTGAAAATGGTACTAACTAAGTTTAAAAAGGGAGGAACAAAGAAGACCGGAAACAGAGTACGCTTGCGGGAAAAAGTTGCAAGCCTCTCTTAAGGGAAGGATCTCGGGATGAGGTAATTTTCCCCCGGTTTGACTTTGACTACCTTATTTTTGGAGAAGAGGCTTTAAAAACTGAAAAGTGAAGAATGAGCACTTGTGCAACTTTTGGGAAATCTTTTTTGAGGAAACTGAAGAAACCCACTGGTGAGAAGCATTTCCTTAAATAAAGATCTTAACTGTGTACAAGAGTCTCATTCCCCTATTATTCCTTACACTAAAAAATTTAATTTTAAAACAAGATACACTTGCAAAAATAAAAAAACAACGAAACTTATTTTCCCCAAGAAGGATAAAAACAATTTAATACCCCGTTTACTTCCTGCATTTTTCGGTATCCAGATCGCTTCGGGAATTCGGGGAGGCCAAAGTTCTTGTTGTTGTAGCCTGCACTGCGTTGCGAAAATCTAGGGCATCTGGAGGACAGGCTGCTATGAAAACCCGTCCGCACTCGCTCACCTTGCAGTAATACCCCCCCATAACTTGGCTTCGGGGGTGCAGTGTCTTGGGGAGCTTCAAACCCCACCCCACGGTAGGGGGAAACATGACCCCATCTGCAGTGTACCGCATTTTCCCTTCAAATACAAACTCCCTTTTTTTTTTTGGTTTTGTATTTTTAAAATTTATGGGGCTAGGTAAATAGAAGAGAGAGTATGGAAATTGTAAAAGGATGAAAAGCTCAAAACATTAAATAAACATGTATAACACATAATATGTAGCTTGAAAAGCAAAAAAAAAAAAAAAAAATTTTTAATGGTGAAACATTTAAAGGGCTCAAAAAAAATTAAAAGGAATAAAGAAAATATATTTTCAAGTAAACTATAAACAGGTTTCGTTTAGTGGGTATAATGAACCCCACAAAGTGGTCAAATTTTTCAAATTCACACTTTGAATTTTTTAAATTTTTTGTCCCAAAATCTGAAGATTTGCAGGGGGAAGGGGAATAGCAAAATTTAATTTTCACAAAAATCAAAATTTTGCACTAATCATATTTGCGCTGATCAGAACCGATGTGTATATGATTTCTGTGTTTGGGTTTCAAAACACTACTGGGGATACAATTATCACCAGTGGAAAAATTTCCTAAATTATGTAAATAACATTTTCATTTCAGATTAACGTTATACTTTTTTTTTTCAGGTTATAGGAACTATTTTAAAAGTTGCTCTAAAAAAGAATGGCATGGGGCATTAGCAAGCTATTTTAATGAAATCCTCGATTGGTTTGAATTTAAGGGGCAAGTGCCAAGCAGAACAAATTAACAAGCTTTGTAAAATGGGCAAAGGGTTCAATAAAATACAAAGCTTTAACAAAAACATTTAAAAACAAAAATTTTTTGGGTAAGCCCCTCATAAAAACAATTGGAGAAAAAACTGTGAAATTTTGGGGTGCCTTTTAAAATTGGATATTTTATTTTTAATTATGTAATATTCATATATATTTATTTTTATTGGAGGCAGTTTTCTTTCTATTTTTTCGGTGATAAAATGCTTGTTAAAACCAAACAAAGAAGAGCTGTAAGTTAAAAAGGATTTCCATGCAGGGAAGCTTCGGCTGATTCCTTAGATTTTTGTTCAGTATGTACAAATTTTAGGGATAGGTTGTAGAAGCAACCAGCCAGGGGGTACTACCATTCTGCCAAATGAGTGTAAAACGAAAGCCCGTAATTTTTTACATGATGGTTGGTTTTCTGGTGCTTTGCCTTCTCAAAATAGCAAGATTACAGGTACGTCTTTCTACTTTTCTTTCACTTAGGTCCATACACTACATGTAAACATATACAGTGGGGGGCCCCCGCTTTAACATCACCTCCAAATGCGACCCAAATTTTAATTATTTTGTAATGCGTTTGTACGTGTATGTTTGGGGGGCTGAAATGGACTAATCTACTTCCAATTTTCCTTATGGGGAAAAAATTCGGTCAGTACTGGGACCCGAACATACTCGGAATAAAAAGTTCGTTAACCGGGGTCCCACTTATATACAACCCCCCCTGGGTTTTCTTCTATTTTCTTTCTAGTTTTTGTCCTTGCTTATTTCCTCTTATCTCCCCTGGGAAGTGGAACAAATTCTTCCCCCGTAAGCATGGTGTTGTAAGAGGCAAAAAATGCCGGGAGCAAGGGGCTAGAACCCCTTTCCTGTTGTTTTCTAAATGTAAAAAGGGGAAGCTTCGTTTTTTTCCCTTTTTGGGGCCCCCCGCCTTTGGGGGGATCGGCCGGTGTGTTGAAAGAAAAAATACAGGGGGCCCCCGCATAACGATTACCTCCGAAGCACCATTTTTGAAGGTTTAGTAATGCGTTTTTACGTATGTTTGGGGTCTGAAATGGGCTAACAATTTACAATATTCCTTATGGGGGAAAAAATTCGGCAGTATGGCACCTGAACTACTTCTGGAGTAAAAAATATCGTTAACCGGGGGGCCACTGTATTTCAAAAGCTGTTTTGGTCCCAAATGATCTTTTTTTACTGACTCCCTGAAAAATTAAGAGGCAAGAAAATTCCTCTGGTTACACTGCCATGGGTATAAACCATCTACTTTTTGGGTTTGGTTAGGTACGGTAGGTCAGGAAAAAGGACAAGTTTTTCCTGATGGGAGGTCTAAAATCATATGATACTCCCAGCTGAAGCTTTATTGCTGACGAGGGCCCTTTCCCCTGGCTTACCACTCCACCCCTTTAAAAAAAATTTTTGGGTTTGATTATAACCATTTTTTTTTTACATCTCCTTCATGGGTTGGTTAAATAACAATAAAGTTTACACCCCAAAGGAATAAATCGTTGCTTTATTGGGGGGTTTTCCTTGTAATTTTACATGTTTCCATGTATGTATTGTACTTTCATGACCGTACCTAAATAAATTCAAAATTACTTACCCCTTTAAAGGATAAAACTAACCTAAATTTCCTTACTCCCCCAAACAGTTACATTAATGGCAGCATTTTCAATTCAACACTATTTACATTACACAAAAAACCCCCAAAGAAGAGGGAGCTTACTGGAGGTTTTCCTGGGAAGTTTCGGGGGGCAAGCCCCCGCGGCCCCGGGCTGTGACCACCTCCTGGTGGGTAGCGCCCGATCACCCCGGGTGTGCGCTGGCTGCACGCAAACAAGTACGCCACAGCCCGGCTGTCAGGGAAATGATTTAGGGCTTGTCCATGCCGCTTGAAGACTGCCGGGGGCTGTTGGGAATCCCCCCCTTTTGTCTGGGGGGCAGTTTAACAGTCTCGGTCCCCTGACATTATTGATGGTCT